GTGCTGCAGTGGCTGCAGATAGCTTCATAGTGCTGCACTTTAACCCCTTGCACCACCAGGGAGGGCCCGTGAATGTCATCTTTAAAAGGGACCTAATACCTATCAAAGGAGAGGTTGTTTGGGACACTCCACCCACGTGGTCCTGCCATCTCCACTCTAGGAGGGGCTCTTATTTTTCCCCTCCCTGAAAGGGCAGTTGTCTCACCTTGGCCTGCAGCTTCCTCACCAGTGTTGCTTGCCTCTGCTGGGCTTCCTGAGAGCTCTTCAGCTTCCGCCAGGAGGCTGCCTGGGTCTCTGCCATCTGCTGCTGTAGGGCTAGTACTTGTTCCTCCAGCACCAGCTGCAGTGTCTGTGGCTTCATATTGTTCAACCCAGGCCCTCCTGTCTCCATGGGGGCACCACACAGTAAGCCCACAGGCCTCTACACAGCCAGAGGCTGTTCACTTCTGGCAGGCTCTCCAACCATTGCTGTGCTACTGTGACCTCCTCTTGAACTGGGGACCAAAGCACACAGAATTGCAAGAACCCTCTATGTGACTCAAACTTATTCAGCCAATACCATTACATCTGGCAAAGGTGGGCTGGGCAAAGTAAGTAGTTTCCTTTACTACAGGACTCCTCAGAGCATTTAACATACTAAGACACACCCTACTTTTTAAGGGAAGCTCTAATGAGCATCACTCCGTTGCCTTGATGGTAAGAGACAAGGTCACAGGACTAGTGTTTCCTGGCATGCCTTTTGGAAATCTGCACTCAATCAAGAGTTCCTGGTTTACCAAAGCATCACTAGAGCCTAGCACAGTGCCTAGTAATAAACACTTGCCAAATCATTCAAAGTGCTTTTCGTCTAACAAGGGAGACAAACACAATTATAATACAATACAGTATATGCAATAAAAATAAAGACATTGTAGGAAAATGATTTTTTAAAAAAGATTTATCTATTTATGCATACATAACTGGGGTACAGGCCAGAGGTGCAGGGGCGGTGAGAGAATTCACCAAAGACAGAGTGAGGAGAAGAACAGGCAGACTGACAAGTACACTGCTAAGGGGAGCAGCGGGTGAGACAGGAAAGGTCTAGGATCAAACTGGCACTGAAGCGGCTGTGGCTTGCTTGCAGTGCTGCTCTCTAACCCGCTACGCCACCAGGAAGGGCCAAATGAAAGGACTTTTAACTCAACCTGGGGTCTGTGAACTGTGTTAATCATCATTACAGTTAATACTAGCTAAGTGTTTCTACAGGTCAGTTGCTTTAAGTGCTTTATGCACACTATGTCATTTTGTCATCACAAGAATCTTAAAACCTTCTAATACCTTCCTATCACACTTCAGCATAGGTAGTTATAACTTTAGATGGGAAAACTGAAAGCTGGGACTAAGCAAGAGTTAAGCCTTAGCTGAGACATTTAAAAGGTCATTAGCTTGTATTGTTGACACTTGGTTGATTAGGGATATGAACTTGAGCAGTCTGACTCTCTGACCAAGAAATGGCGTGGCAGGCATTCTGGCAAGGGATTCAGAACAGAAAGGGGAAAAGTAAGGAGCTGGGCAGGATGGCTAACCTACCAGGTGCTGGCCACAACAGGCAACAGGCCACCTGCAAGCAAGGGAAGTCAGTCTAACAATTAAGCTTCAGAAACACCTTGGGGGTGAGGGGGTTATGGTGGTCAAGGAGAATTCTGGGTGCTTGTGTGACCTCTGGCATCTTTTTTAGTCTGCTTGTCCAAAAATAGGGCTATCCAGCTACATGAATTTCTAAGGTCTCTAAAATACACACTAGTCCTGTAACGTAGGAAGAGGGAGTACATTAAGTTCTCTCATTTTATTAACTCTGACACTCCCATCGCCATGGTTAAAAGAGTATCTGTATTTCTAACTATCAAAAAAATGGTATATTCAACAAATGCAAATATAACATTGCAAATATAGTGTGTGTGGGGGTGGTTATGTCTCAAACTGTTGATCTCCTAAATCCTCACTCAAATGTCACTTCCTACTGTGTCCTCCCAAGATGTACCCAGGAAGCTAATCACATATAAAATTCCCAGAGAGAGTATGTATGTCTGATGTCTATAGTATACTGTATCATGGTTGTCTATTTCCCCACTATTCTGTGGGCACTTCAAAGGCAGGAGCTATCTAACTCACTTTAGTCATTAGCAGGTTGTTAATAATGAATAATGAAGAAATGCACATGGATCTTGCTCCTGTTAGATCTAAACTTTTGGCCAGAGGTTACAGATGTGGCCTCCTAGCTGCTTTGAATTTTTGGTTGGCTCATACAATGATTTTTAAGAATTCAAATTATGTACCAACTTTACCAATGGGAGATTATATATAGAAATTCTTATTTCTAACTCCTTTGGAAAATCAGAATAACTAGTGACTGAATTAGTGGTCTGCCTCCTTTAGTTACAGCATTGCTCTCCTGTTCACCAGTCTCTGCACTTAGTTCAGCTTTCAAGTGTTATTTATCATTGCATTTTGGTGCTATTTTTCTTAGAGTAACAAAGAAAACACAGTTTACTAGTTTACCTATGCAACTGTTTTACTGATACCTGAGTTTGCAGAGCTCTATCAGACAGCAAGGAAAGTGCATAAAGTAAGAAGAGTGGCGTGGCACTAGCACCCCAGGCTACCTCTTCTTCTTTTTTTTTAAAGATTTATTTATTTATTTATTATGCATACAGAACTGGGATACATGCCAGAGGTGCAGGAGCGGTGAGAGGATTCACCAGAGACAGAGTGGGGAGCAGAACAGGCAGACTGACAAAGTACACTGCTGAGGGGAGCAGTGGGCAGGTCAGGAGAGGTCTGCCGCGCCATGTGGGTCAGCTCCCTGCCGGGGATTGAACTCGTGCTGCTATGGCTTCAGAGAGCTTCATAATGCTGTGCTTTAACCCACTGCACCACCAGGGAGAGCCCCCAGGCTGCCTCTTCTATCCCATGAGTTGAGTAATAAAGCCCACCCAATATACCAGCAATCCTCTTTTTCTGCCCTTCCTTACATCCAAGGCTAGGTTGGCCAGCTCACCACAGTTCTGTGAAATGCTGGAGGCATCACTCTCCCTAGCTTAATGCATTAAGTTAAGCCATATGAAATTGTCAATATTCATGTATTTTTTATATCTCTAAAAGTAGTTCCATGTAGTTCAACCTACTATTTCTATAAGCAGCCCTACCACACTTTCCAGACTTCTCATATTAAATCCCAGTTTAATAAGACTGTTGTGAAAATAGAAACATTTGGAAAGCTGATATTAGTAGTATTTGAGTAAAGAAATCGAGTTAGGTCAGAACTATATGATTCTTTTTCTTAGGAGATAATTTAAAAATTTTAGAACTATTTAGAAATTTAGTCCAGTTCTCTCATTTTACAGATAAGAAAACTGTGACCAACAGAGATAAAGTATCTCCATTTGGGGGCTGGGGGAGAGTATATGGCTCCTAATAGAAATCTCGTATGTGGGGACCTCACTCTGTTTTCTCCTACCTATCTGGCCTCTCCCTTTGCTGGCTCTTTCTCATCTCCCCAGCATCTACAGAATATAGGCCCCAGGGCTAAGGCTTCATGTCTGTTCTCATCTGAATTCATTTCCTAATTCGTCTCTTTCAGTGTTTTGTTTTATTTTTAAGTTTTATTTTGTTTATTTATGCATACAAGAACTGAGGTGTAGGCCAGAGGTACAGGTGTGTGTATATGAGAAGATTCACCAGAGACAGAGTGGGGAGCAGAACAGGCAGATCCATTGAAATACACTGCTGAAGGGAGGTAGCAGACGAGACAGGAGAGGTCTGCTGCGCCATGTGGGTCAGTTCCCTGGCAGGGGATTGAACTCATGCTGCAGTGGCTGGTGATAGCTTGATAGTGTTAAGAGTTGACCCCTTGTGCTACCAGGGAGGTCAAATCTCTTTCAGTTTTATGGCTTAAAACAGCACCCATTTGTGACTCCCAACAGTACATCTCCAGCTCACAGCTCCCTCTGGAATGCCACACCTCTATACTAAATCCAAACATCTTTTTAAATTTTCCACACAGAGGTCTGATAGGCAACCTCAAAGTCAATTTGTCCAAAGAGAATGCCTGTTCCTCCTGTTTTCCTGATTTTAGTGAAGGGTATTTCCATTCTTCAGGTTGCTTGAGCCAAAAGTCTAAGTCTCATATTTACTTCATTCTCCCACACCCTGTAATCAGTCCCTCAGCAAACCCCGGGGTCTATAAGAGCCTATTGCTTTTTGATTCCTGGCTACCATTCTAAGCCAAGTCATTCTCCCTTACTTGGTGTGATGGCTTTCAGGTGTGCTTACAAATTCTTTGATACTCCCTCCTCTTGTTAAGGAATGGAGCCTAATTGCCCTTGAGTGTGAACTGGAATAAAGTTAATAAAGCAAATAAAGCAGAAATGGCTTCTAAGACAAGGTCATAAAAGACATTAGGCCCTCTAGACTCTCACTCCCCCTGCTCTACTCCCTTGGGGCAGCCAGTTACCTTGCCTGAGGATGTTCAGGCAGCTCTGAAGACACCCTGTGATAAGAAGCTGAAGCTTCCTGCTAACAGCCCTGTGAGTGTGTCATCTCAGGAGAAGATCCTTGGGCTCATTTGAAGCCCTCAGATCATTGCCTCTACAGCCATCAGTGTGACTGCAACCTTCCTGAGAGACTAAGCTAACACAAGCTGTCCCCAAACTCTGACATAAAACTGTGTGAGATTATAAATAACTGCTGTTTCAAACTGGTAATCATAATTTCTTGTACAGCAATATAAAACTAACCTATCTGGATTACTGCAGAAGCTTGCCAGATGGTTTGATGTTTCTAACTTTGCTTCCAAAATTTGCCATTTTTCAAAATAAGAGTGATCCTTTCAAAACAGTGACAAATTATGCTACTCAGAACCCCTTCCAGGACTACTCAGAGTAAAAGGAAAAATTATTATAGTGGCTCACAAGATCTCAGCCTTCCAGGTTTAATTCCACTTTGCCTTTGCTCAAACACATCCGGCCACACAGCTCTTTATGCTCTATGTGCTGGGGGCACATCAAACCCCAAACTCATCCTGGCATCTTCCCACCTTTGGCCCCTTCCCCCAGTTATCTTCATGATTCACCCCCTTTACCACCTTCAGGTCTCTATTCAAATGTCACTATCTCGTAAGTTGTTTCTTAACTACCCAGTATAAAATTGCACCTCATCTCCACACACACTTATATTTCTATTTGCCTTTATCTGTCCTAATCTGATCATTTTGTGTAATATATCTACCAGAATGCAGATTTCCCAAGTGCAAGTATTTTGCTTTATTGACTGCTATATTCTCAGCTCCCCAAACTGTGCTTGCTATATAGGTGGTTATCATTAAATGTTTGGCTGGCTGACTGAATAAATACAAGGACTGTAGGTAACCTGATTCATATCACTAATGGACTTGCAAACTGCTGACAGTTCCATAACATTTTAAAAGGTAAAAACCAGATCTGTAGTTTGTATAGCACTTTAGTCTCACAGCTATCATTTTCAATCCTCATTAAAAACTCTTTGAGATAGGGCCCTCCCTGGTGGCGCAGCAGGTTAAAGCACTGCACTGAGGAGCTAAAGCCACTTCCGCATGAGTTCCATCCCTGCCTGCCCCGGAGGTGACCCACTTGGCGGAGGTGACCCACTTGGCGGAGGTGACCCACATGGCGCGGCAGACCTCTCCTGACCCGCCCGCTGCTCCCCTCAGCAGTGTACTTCGCCAATCTGCCTGTTCTGCTCCCCACTCTGTCTCTGGTGAAGCCTCTCGCCACCCCTGAGCCTCTGGCCTGTACCCAAGTTCCCAGTTCTGTATGTACAAATAGATAAATCTTTTTTTTAAAAAAAAAAAAACAAAAAACTCTTTCAGATTAGATGGTTGTCCTCATTTTACGGATGAAAGAACTAGCTCAAAAAGTGGAAGGCGTCAGTAGCAGTGCAATCTGGTGGCAGTCTGCCTTCATTATATCACCATTGCTGCTGTCACCTCAAACATAAATATGAAATCACAGTTCTGTGAGAGGTACTTCCTAAAGGGTGTGAAATGATAAGGTCCAGGTCTACAGGATGGAACAGTAGCAAAGAGAAAGACAAGCTGTCACCCAAGGAACAGAGGAAGCACTAGCAGGTTCAAGCCTTGGTGTTTTCACCAAGTCACTCCATAAACTTGAGAACATCAGTCCTCCTTCCTAAACCTTCTCTATAAAATGAGAATTATAACCCTCCCTTCATAACTCATGAGGCTGAGGTAAAAAGACCAATTCAACAGATACGGTAGGAACCTAAAGGCAATCAACTGAAATCATCACAAGCTCGGGACAGCCTAGAATTCGTTTTTCAGCTCCACTCAAATATTTTAAGACTAGGGAAATTATCTGATCTCAGTTTCTTCATGTATAAAATGTGATGCTGTGGGGATAACTGTAAGTAAGTAGCACCTAACATCGTGACTATTCAGTAAATGCTATCATTACTATGGACTAGACACTAGAATATACAGAGATGAAAAGAACAAGTCATTAACACCGCCAGCTAGTGTGCAGGTCTAAAGAGAAAAGTAACTTCAAGCAAATGAATTCCTTACACCCTACCCCACCCCCTCAAAAACAAAAAACAAAACCCCCCAGGCGGCAAAATTAACTGCGTTTGCAGAAAGCGGTTGGAAGTATCATTCCAAGGAGTATTTGAGTAGGATCTGGAAGCATGAGAGTTCGGGTGGGGCAGCGGGTTGCCCAGTGCAACAGGGCTTTCGAGCAGATCACGTGCAAAGTCGCAAGGGCAGAGTCAAAAAACTTTGGGGCGCAGAGAGCAAGACGGGCGCAGGAGCGCAGCCCCTTATCCTGACAACCCGGGGCTCCTCGGCGATCAGATATAAGGGTCGGGAATTCCCTTTGCGCGGGCTGGAGCCCAAAGAGGTGGCGGCAGCAGGTTGCCTAGTCAAGGGGCCGGGAGCCCTAGGACAGATCCCAGTCCCAATGGGCCTCTGGTTCCTCCCGAGAGGCCACTGCCCAGACGGGATTCCCTGAGGCGCCCTCGGCAGGCCTGATCTGGGGCTCCGACCGTTAACCCGAGCTCCTCCCGTCTGCCCTTGCGGCCCTTCCTCACCACACTCGGATCCCGCAGATTCCCAGCTACTTCAACCGCGCGGGAGTGGCCGCAGGCACCGTCGAGGCCGGCCGGGGGCGGGGGCCCACCAGCGGCGCCAGGCGCAGACCGGCCCCCTACCTCCCGCCCTTTCCGAGGGCCCCGCCCCTCGGAGTGGTGCGCGGGTGGGCGGACTGTGTTGCGGGACGGGGCCTCCCGCCATGTTGAGTACTGGCAGCCGATTTAGTGAAGAAACCCAGAAGCAAAGAGAGGATTTTATTCAAAGACCTAAGACCCCCTCGCTTAAAATTCGCACAGCCAGTGTTGCTGGATTTAAGCCAACTACGTTTTAGTAACAGAAAACACTTGCCCTCGATCATCCTTTGGGCCTCTAAGTTACACATCGCGCATGTGTGTGAGCCTCTGCTTGTAAGTGCGCCTGCGCACAACTCCATCCACAAATCCGAGAATATTTAATTAACTGCGTGAAGAGAAGGTCGCAAACCTGCTCCAGGGTCGCAGAGAAACCTACCTAGCAACCATTTCTAGGATTTCCTCGTCTTTAGCTTTCTCAAGCTCCAAGCAGCCCCAGGCCTCGCAGTAGTCACGGAATAATTAATTTGAACGCAACATTGTTTTCTCCCTATATCTTTGAACAGGTCTGATTTTCTGCGTGAGCCTGACTTCCTTTAGAGGATTCTTTACTTCTGAGACCCAAGTGTTATTCCCATAGCGTTTTTATCAGTGCACTTTCTTGGAATTGTAAATTCCATTTACCAGTCTCTTGGATTCCAACTCTGAGCTTCAGCAAACCAGGAGTGGGGTCCAGGAATCTTCATTTTAGCTAATATCCTCGCTGATTATGATGCATCGGGAACACTTTGTATGAAATTTGTGTGTCTCTAGCACGCAGCACAAGGTGTGATACAAAACAGGTACTCAAACAGTGCTGAGTGAATAGATGGATAGATGAATAGATAGAAGCAGTCAAACAGGCAATACACAACCAAAGGGCGTTCAAGAAAGGAACATTTGATAAGAGCTGTACTGTATCTTCTCTTCTTTAATAACACAAAAGCTCCTAATAATTATGGAAGGAAGAAGTTAGGGATGAGGAGGTAGGAAAGAAAGGGTACTGATTCTGAAAAGCTGTTCACCATCTAGACAGGGAAGAAGAAACATCCCAAACATTAGACCAAAAAGAAAGAAGAAGAAAGAAATGCAAAGTATCAGTGTTATGGGAGTCTACCCTAGGGAAATAATGTATTCAAAATGTTTACTACAACAATATTGAGGAAAGTGAAATAAATTGAATGCTACCAATCTCTTTTCTCCCTCGTGGTCTTTTCACATACTTTGCCTCTCTATCACTTTCCTCCTAGTTGGCTTAACTGATGCCTTCCCCTTCTTCAGATCTCAGTTTAAATGATAATTGTTCAACAGGTCCTTCCTGACCATACTATCTAAAGTCATTTTCTATTATAGTACTCTCTTTCTTTCTTACTATTATAATTATTACTTTATTTGTTTACTTTTCATCATTCTTCCCTGTAAATTTAAGCTTCAAGAGCATCAGAGACTACGTCTGATTTATTCCTAGAATTTAATACAGAATTTGACATGTGGCAGGTGAAATAACATCCATTGAATGAATGAATCAAGTCAACCTCAACCTGATGCTGATAAAACCCATCAGCAACCTACCATGAAGAGTAAAAGAAAAATGTTTCAAATTGTGAAGACATACTATTAATCAATCAGTAATCCTTGATGTGTGTAAGGGGGAATTAATTCTTTCATTCCTTTCTTGGTTCACCCAACAAACATACATTGGATATATATTATGGAGGAGCAATACTGGATAATAATACAATGTATTAATAGCTAGTTGGAAAATCTTTTGAAGCATAATAAAGTAATGTAACTGGGTATTTTGTCTGTCCAGAGCAGTAAGTGGAGTTAACTGATGTGTGAAAGTGAATAACACTGCTGTGGGTACATAAGTCTCCCAATGTCCTATAAAGTGTCAGAAACACTGGAGACAAACAAACACCAATTTGCACACATTGCTTGAATTGCTTGAAGCTCAAGGACCTATGGGAAAATACGTAAACCAACAGAATTACAGTCTGATCAAGTTCAGACCTGTCGGATAAACCAGAGGAGGGAAATAGCCTCAAAGGAGGCTGAATTGGAAGGAAAGACAATATATTACTTCTAAGAAAGTCAATCTTTGTCCCCTTTGGGTGAATTTTCTCATCATAAGTTAATAATATGGAGCAGAGACAGGGAAGCAAAAGGATATTAGCTCTTGTAGTAGGTTGTGAACAACTTGCTGCATTTAAGTCCAGTCATTATTAAATAAATACAAATTTATCCCTTACTATATGCCAGATCCTGAACTGTACACCTGAAGAGACTCAAAGAACAATGGATGCTGTCTAGACCCTCAGTCCACTGACCCACATGGGAGACAGGCAAGTGAGCATGTATTTCACACAAGTACAGTGTGGTAAATTCCATAAATCGGGAGTGGCTGGCTTCATAGAGGCGGTGTCATTATAACCTGATTGTAAAGGATAAATCTGCTGAGCAGATGAATATGGGAAGTGCATTTCAAGCAGAGTGTGCATGCAATATGGTGTGCAAGAGTTCAGAGTGTTTGGGAAATACTGGGAATTTCCTCTAAGCACTCCTTTTGCCGATTCTGCCACTTGTTTGGATTATGTGACTCTCCTTGGATTGGATAATAGTACACAGTCTCCTTCATCAGCTTTATATTTTCCTCCATGATCCTGACTCTCTCTCAGTGGTCAAGTCTTAGACTGGTTCTAGTCCCTCCCCCAAACCAAGTCAAGCTCTATGTAACCTGTTCATTCAGGCTTGACCTTTCTTGGAAGGAGAGACATTTTTTCACCCCAGTTCAGGATCTGAGCAATAAATGATGTTAGGTCCAGTATCTAAAAGTTCCTCACTCTAACAAAGTATCTTAGCTGGGGGAGCCTTTGAGAACTCACGGAGGAGAGTGGGAGTAGTGGCAGCTCCAGGGGAATTTAAACAGCACAAACTGATTTGGCTATATGGCCTGACAAGGCAGCTCTGCCCTTGGCGGTGTTCTTTGGGTTCCCTGCATGGGGACAGCCCAGGCCTCATAAATTAGAAGATGCATAGAGCTAAAGGAGGGCTTTGAACCCTCCTTTCCAGCAACCTCTAACCTGTAGGCTGATACTGGGAAAGATCTATCCTTCTTAGCAGTGGGAAGAGCACAGGATTTGAGTCAGGTACCTTTCATTTCTAGCTGTGTCACTCAACTTCTGTAAGACGCAATTTCTTAATTTGTGAAACAGAGAAAAGGATCAAAAATGAATCTTTGTTGTTGTTGTTGTTGTTTTAAGGATTTATTTATTGATGCATATAGAACTGGGGCACAGGCCAGAGGTGCAGGGGCAGTGAAAGGATTCACCAGAGAGAGAATGGAGAACAGAACAGGCAGGTTGATACTGCTGAGGGGAGCAGCGGGTAAGATAGGAGAGGTCTGCTGCGCTATGTGGGTTAGCTCACTGGTCAGCTGGAGGCTGGGGAGCCAACTCATGCTGAAGCAGCTGCTGCTAGCCTTGCAGTGCTGTGCTTTAACCCCTTGTGCCACCAGGGAGGGCCCTGGAGTAGTAATTTTGTAAAAAACATAAATAATAGATAACATCTATGTAGTATTTATTATGTATGATACACTGTCCTAAGACGCCACAACAACAATTCTTAACTTTATAAGGTTGGTATATTGTTATTATCCTCCTTTTATACATGAGGAAACTAAGGTACACAGAGACAAAATGATTGGCTTGAGATTACACAGCTGCACATGGGAGAGCCAGGATTTGAAGGCAGGTAGCACAGATGTTAATCATTATATTACAGATTAGACAACTCGCCTGCCTTTAACCCTCTGTTAGGTTTCACATTGCACTAAAATAAACTTTCAACTCCTTTTCCCTGACTTGCAAGCAAAGTCATACTCGATATGGCCCTGCCATGATCTGAACTCAACCCCTACCATTTCGTCCTCCTCATTCTGACTGTTTCAGATGCACCCATGGTTCCTCAGATAGACAAAGCACATTTCTACCTCAGGGCCTTTGCATTTGCTGTTCTTGTCACACAAAATTATCATCCCCATAGACTTTTGCCCTCACAACATTCAGATCTCTGTTCACATGTCATTCCTTCAACAAAACATTCCTATCTAAAATAGACTTCCATTTGACCTTGCTTATTTTTTTCTCCACAGCACTTATTAGAATTATCTGAAGTGATTCATTTGTTTGCTTGTTTGTCTCTTCTACTCGGATATGAGCACAGATTTGGTCACCCTGTCCACTGGTCTTTATTATACTTGGAGTCTACCACAGGGTAGGCACCAACATGTAGTTCCTGGATAATTAAATGCATGAATAAATTTAATCACGCAAGGTCACACAACTGGTTAGTGGCAGAGCCAGGATACAAATCAAGTTGCCTCACCTGAAGTCTGTGCTCCTAGTTATTGTGCTGAAGTGACTCCGAGAGTTTTCAGGAGGTTCAGCTAGCAAAATGAATGTGAAATCACTTTGGAAATTGCTAAATGCTTTAAGAAAAAGTGAAGGCTTATTTTTTTCCCCTTCAGTTTACTGTTTGCTCATCTGTGAAATGGGGGTAATAATACTTTGGCCTGGTGACTTTATGAGAATGTTTTGTGGAGTGCCAATGAGATAGTGGATGGGGAAACATATAAAAGTTCAAGGCTTTATATGGTAGAAGGGACTATAAAAATTATTTCAATGCCAGTGGTTTCCCTGGGCGCCCATCCTCTACCTTTGACGTTAATATTGCTGACAGGAAAGGGGGAGGTAGTGGGACATGGGGGACCAAGGGACTCTGCATCCTAGTAATTAAACATGTTGGGACTGAAGCACTGCCAGCAGCGGCATCTGGTTGCAATTACCAGAGGGGACCGAAGTGATTAGTCACCTTTATAGTGAGAGCCAGGCTGGTCCCCTGGGCTCCTCCCTGGAGACAGCCTTCTAAGCAAGCTCAGAGTTCCCTTTCCCTGCTCCCACCCCATTTTGGGAGTTCTCTGATGCACAACAATAGCCCCTACTCTGAGATACCTCCATGTCCCCAAAGCTTCAACCCCGTGGATAGGAAGGACCTGACTAAAAGTAAAAAATACTGTGATTGACCCCTCACGCCTTCCCCCACCTTTTACTGCTTCTTGTGTTTCTAGAGACCAGGTTAAGATTCTGTGGCATAAAATGTGTCAAAGCAGAATGTAAGCTTAAAAAGTAATTTAACCTGTCTGCATTTTGACTTCTTCACTTGTCAATGGAGATACTAAGAGAATCTGCATCAGGAGTATAATGGACCAGGCGAGAAAATAATGATAATAATGAACAGCCATATACCAGAGACATTTTGTGGGGGTGGAGTGGGGAATGGGATCAAAAACGTGGGTGGGGGTGGGGGTGGAGGGAAAGAAGTGCTCTGGACTATGGTGATGGCACATGGGTGACTTGGTGATGGGAAACCCACGGGGATTACAATTGAGATGAAAAAAAAAAGTACAAAATGATGTAAAAATAAACTATTATATTATAAAAAAAGAAAAAAAGAGAGAGAGAGAGAGAGAGAGAGAGAACCTGCATCATAAGGTTGTGAAGCTAGGAACTCCCTGGTGGTGAAACACTATGAAACTATCCACAGCCACTGTAGCACGAGTTTGATCCCTGGCCAGGGAGATGACCACATGGTATAGCAGACCTCTCCTGTCTTACCCACTGCTCCTCTCAAGCAGTGTGTTCAGTCACTGCCTGTTCTGCTCCCCACGCTGCCTCTGGTGAATCCTCTTACCCCCAACACTTCTGGCCTGTACCCCAGTTCTTGTATCATAAATAAAATAAATATTAAAAAAATAAGGTTGTGAACATAAGTAACATTTATGTGGCAGGGGAGATACCACGATCACAAAGTTGTTTCCCCAGGGTGAGTCTCCTCCATTGTACCTGGGATGTGCTAACATCTGCCATTTTCCCTAAATGTGGGAAACTCAACTGCATAACTTGTGGTAGTGGGGAAATGCATTTGCTCTTTTACCTGCTAAATAAAAAGAAGGTAAAAATTCTAAGGGTTATAAAGGCCAGTGTCTAGTTTGCTAGAGTAAGTGCTCAATTTAGTAGCTATTGTTAATATTTTCCAGGTGCTAGGCTAATCACTTTTATGATTCCTTTCATTGAACTCCCCCACCCCCACCCCAAATGTTATGAGGTGAATGTTCATGATTTCTGTTTAGGATTCAGAGTGTAGACACTTGCAGAGATCACACAGTAGGGTAACTCACATAGCAGGCTCAGGCCTGTTTACCTCTGAGGTCTTCACTCTTTGTCAAACCATGTTCAGGAATATCATTGTTGATTGATTCCTTCATATATATGCTCACTTGAACTTGTAAAATGCCCCATAAATGGCAAGACAGAATCCATCCTTCTAAGGAACTCAGAATACAACATGGAAGGCATGGTGGGTCCACAAGTAACTATACCTTAATGTAAAAACTGATGACTTTTTTTTTTTAAGATTTATTTATGTGTAGAAGAAGTGGGGTAAAGCCAGAGGTGCAGGGAGTGAGAGGATTCACCAGAGACAGAGTGGGTAACAGAACAGTCAGAGTGACTGAAATACACTGCGTGGGGGAGCAGTGGGCGAGACAGGAGAGGTGTGCTGTGCCATGTGGGTCACTTATCATGTGGGCTGTGGACTGAACTCGTGCTTCAGTAGCTGCTAATAGCTTCATAGTGATGCACTTTAACCAGTTGCGCCACCAGGGGAGCCCTGAAAGTGGTGACTTTTGTACATGAGAACCAGTTAGAGATCCAGTCATGCATACAACATATTCTGAGAATCTGCTTTGTGCTGGGTATACTCTGCACAGCAGTGGGAATTAAGTGAAAGATAATTATGAGCCTACTCATAATCTAGCTTCTTCTAAGGAAGGTAGGTAAGTAGTTATAAGGGCTTAAGTTATGATGTTAAAAATGTGAACAAAGTACACAGAGTAGAAGAAATGAACTGTGTCCCTTTCATAGTTCCCTGAAGATAGGAGCAGAACTGGGTAATCTTTGAGCTGCCAAATTGAAAAGGGGCAGAATATGTGTGATGGCAACTCAGGAGTTGTGTATCTCCTGGGTGGTGAGGGAAGGTTTTGTGGAAGAGAGGTCACATGAGTTGGCACTTTCTAATGTATAGAGAGAGGGAAGGTGGGGGCACAAAGATCCTAGAGTTCTAGAAGCCAATTATAAGAGAATTATCACAGGAAGGCAGTGGAGAGGAGACTGAGACAGTGAGGCAGTGGGGGTAAAGAAGAGGGAGGCACACCAGAGATGAAGCTTGAGTGAAGACAAGTTTAAAAAGAAGTCAACTGTTGTGATCCTGAGCAATACTTGATTTCCTGAAAGTTCCTCAAAAGAGTATCTGGTAGTGCACTGGTCCTTTGAAATGGGGAGGTGGAGCTCTATTGGACTTTCTGACCTGGGAACCCCAGATGTAGCTTGAAATAGCCAAATTAGGTTGCTATCCTCTGAAGATCAGTAATCATCTGGGAGTGTCACCAAAGAAGACTGGTTGGGCACTTGGATCTCCCCCCCCCATGAATTTCATCTTCTTTCACTCATCATACACTTACTGATTTCCAGTCTGTGTCAGGTTACGAAGGGAAACCCCTTCTGTAACCTTAGAGAATAAACAGATCTCTATTAGATGGACTCCAAGGATATCAGATTAAGAAAGAAGCCTACCCGACTATTGTTTCTGCCTCTGCAGTGCCTCTGACAGAGTCCTATGTTTTGTGAAATGTACAAGAAGGAGTAATTGACTCTGTCTGGGCATCAGGGGAGGCTTCCCAGAGGAGGTGAGTTTTCAATTGATGCTCTGAGGATATAGAGGACTTCTTCCAGTTGTGGGAGTGAGAAAATGGTATTCCATATGGATGGAACAGGTTTCTTCTGAGGCCCTGTGATGAGATGTCTAGGATCTAGTGCAACAGGCTCACCAATGAAAGGAGGCTACAGCACTGCAGTGAGGCACTTGAAGATATCCGTGAGTGCCAAGACAAGCATCCTGTGGAAATCAGTTTTACTCCAAGTATCCTGCAGGGGGCGCTGCTCCCCTAGGCTCCGGCTGCCACCTCTGGATTCAGCCAGCCCTTTCCAAGGAAACTCAAGAGTTTGCCTTTGCTGGGGTGGCAGTGAGGTACTCCGGGGACTGGCCTTCAACCAAAAAGTTAGCTAGTTGGGGGTGGGGGATGGCAGTGTCTCCCCTCAAGTTTGAAGAAATCATCTCAGCTCAGTCAATGGCATTTGGGAGAAGGGGTGTAGTGGGTACTGATATTTTTCTGTCTCTGGGTCACCACAAGTTTATTAAAATAAAAGAAACTGTGGGTAAATGCTGCCATCTGTGCTGCCCCCAACAACAAATCAGGCCCCAGACTAGACACAGGCATTGAAACTACTTTAAAAACACCCCAAGGACTTAACTGAAAACCCGCAATCCCCGTGCTTCTGGGGCTTAAGATCCTTGAGCTCATTCCTCAGCATCTCTCTTTAGGAAGGTGGGGTGGGCTGCCTGGTCAGGTGGAGGTGAGGACCCCTGAGTCTGCTCCATGGACTGAGAGGCCCCCTAAGCCTAGCGTCCCGCTGTGGGGCTCGATGCCAAGAGCCCCCGTGAGCCATGGCCTCGAAAGGGCAGCGGTGATTTTTTTCACATAAATATATCGCACTTAAATGAGTTTAGACAGCATGACATCAGAGAGTAATTAAATTGGTTTGGGTTGGAATTCCGTTTCCAATTCCTGAGTTCAGGTTTGTAAAAGATTTTTCTGAGCACCTGCAGGCGTGTGTGTGTGTGTGTGTGTGTGTGTGTGTGTGTGTGTGTGTGAGAAGTATTTTCACTGGAAAGGATTCAAAACTTAAAAAAAAAAAAAAAAAACTGGAGCACACAGGCAGCATTACGCCATTCTTCCTTCTTGGAAAAATCCCTCAGCCTTATACAAGCCTCCTTCAAGCCCTCAGTCAGTTGTGCAGGAGAAAGGGGGCGGTCAGCTTTCTCCTTTCAAGAACGAGTTATTTTCAGCTGCTGACTGGAGACGGTGCACGTCTGGATCCGAGAGCATTTCCACTATGGGACTGGATACAAACACACACCCGGCAGACTTAAAGAGTCTCAGACTGAGGAGAAAGCCTTTCCTTCTGCTGCTACTGCTGCTGCCGCTGCTTTTGAGGGTCCACTCCTTTCATGGTTTTTCCTGCCAAACCAGAGGCACCTTCGCTGCTGCCGCCGTTCTCTTTGGTGTCATTCAGCGGCTGGCCAGAGGATGAGACTCCCCAAACTCCTCACTTTCTTGCTTTGGCACCTGGCTTGGCTGGACCTGGAATTCATCTGCACTGTGTTGGGTGCCCCTGACTTGGGCCAGAGACCCCAGGGGGCCAGGTCGGGATTGGCCAAAGCAGAAGCCAAGGAGAGGCCCCCTCTGGCCCGGAACATCTTCAGGCCAGGGGGTCACAACTATGGTGGGGGGGCCACCAATGCCAGGGCAAAGGGGGGCACTGGGCAGACAGGAGGCCTGACACAGCCTAAGAAGGATGAACCTAAAAAGCTGCCCCCCAGATCGGGTGGGCCTGAACCCAAGCCAGGACACCCTCCCCACACCAGGCAGGCTGCAACGCGGACTGTGACCGCAAAAGGACAGCTTCCTGGGGGTAAGGCATCCCCAAAGGCAGGATCTGTCCCCAACCCCTTCCTGCTGAAGAAGGCCAGGGAGCCTGGGCCCCCTCGAGAGCCTAAGGAGCCGTTCCGCCCGCCCCCCATCACGCCCCACGAGTACATGCTCTCGCTGTACAGGACACTGTCTGATGCTGACAGAAAGGGAGGCAACAGCAGCGTGAAGTTGGAGGCAGGCCTGGCCAACACCATCACCAGCTTTATTGACAAAGGGCAAGGTGAGGGGGCGGGGTGGCAGGGGCATGGCTCAGGGGGAGGGGCATCTGCATGCATGGAGGGGCCTCTGGGGCCCCAGCCACTTGTTGGGAGATGGCGTGTGCATCTAGCCTGGGGTGGTGTCTGGGCTGATATCACACATACTAGGTCCCAGGATGCTGGCGTGCCAGTGCTGGAGGGCACCTGGGATTGTTACAGGACAGGGTGAGGATCACCAAGTCCAGTTCCTGCAAGGTGCAGAGGAGATTTCTAAAGGCCAAACATGAAACTACCAGTTGATGGCTTAGTTGGGGATCAGATTCTAAGACCCTTGGTTACCAAGCCTTGATCTCTACCTATGTGAGCTGGCCGAACTTTCCAGTCTCCAGGGGTGTATGGAGTGAGAGTAAAGGAGAGAGAGAGATGTATTTCTAGAGAGAGACAGAGAGAGAGAGAGAGAGGTATTTCTAGATACCCATGGTTCTCCAATAAGGGGGCAGAGGAGGCAGGATAAGTGATGATAATAAGGTATGGGATGAACTTCAGCTATATGGTGGGGGTGGGGGCCGCAGACCTAGGTCTCACTCACAAAGTGACCTTGGGAAAGCTCCTTCTTCCTTTGGGCTCTCAGTTTTTCCATCTGTACAACTACATGAGGTTGGGTTGGGTGATTTCTGAGAGCCCTTCAAATATGAAAACTGATGTCTTGTTCTAAATATAGATCATTTTTATCACTGGCCCAGGAGAGTATTTGCTCCTCTTCTCTCTCTACCCATCTGCATTACTAAATTGACTTTTCCTCTCAACTTGCTGTGGAATCACAGCGAGTCTTTCCTTTCCTCTCTGGGTCTCAGTTCTTCTGTAAGTATAAAAAGGTTGGAGGACCTCTCATCGCTATGGTTGCTGGCAGCTCACATGCTCTGGTTCTCTGCTTCTTAGGCCTTTGGCTGGCATGGTGGGGGAGGGGTCTGAGAGTGGGAGAGGCTCCTCATTAGAAGGCCTGTGGGGAATGACCGAGGGGGGGAGGCATAGAGGCAGTAAGTCTGGCTGAGGTGGGGGAGGTGGCCTGGCTGCCTGCCCAGCCAAGAAAAGCTGTGACCCCTTGGGGGCTCATAAAATAAGTCCTTGTGCCGCCCCCCCCATCCCCTACACTAAGGGAGTTTGGAGAGGGGGAGATGGGGAGTTTAAAAGCCTAATTAGTCACCTTCTAGAGCAATATATGAATGCTTCCCAATGGCAAATTGGTATTTAGGAAGGAGGGCATGTTGATTTTGACATACTACTGATCCTTTCAAAGATACACAGCCTCCTACTTATGCATACATGCAGAATCACACACCTGCATACACATATGCACAAACCTTTCTGCACATACACAAGGGATCTTCTTATACATGCACATACGCACATACACATACTATCTTTCAAAGATTCACACAAGTTCAATCATACACATATAATGTCATTCACATACACCTTACTTATCATACTCACACAGAAACCTAATCGTACACACACACACCCCAAATCATTAGACAGGGATGCCAAGGAAATTGGATTGCAAACCAACCTGGTCATTAACTTGCAGTGTGGCCTTAGGCAAGTCACTCCCTCCTCCCTGTGCCTCCTCTGTAAAACAAGAATTAAGGTCTTCTTTATACCTGAGGTACTCAGGTATAAAACATTATTAGTCTAGAGTTCCAACTCTGCTTTTTTCCTAGCTTAGTGACCTTGAGCAAGTCACCCAACTTCTATGAGCCTTCTGGAAAAACATGGGCATTTATAGTTCTCACCTCACTGATACCACGAATGAGAAAGATCATATTAGATAACAGATGGGAGAGGGAATTAAAGAGATAGGCAGTTCTAAGACTGAGGATCTCTGCTACACACAGTCATTGATACAAACACTCAAATCATCCACAACCCTATTTGGCTGGCTGTGAAGGAAGTTGTCTTGTTTTGAAAAAGGCTGTCAGTGGTTTGGGTCTTGGCCTCTGTCAGAGTGGGAAAAAGGTTAAAGAAAGCTCTCTTGGGGGAAGGAAAGCTGTGGCCCTCCCTGAGGCCTGGAGGTGGCTGGCTCCTTTGCTAAGATTGCAGGGAATGACTTCTGGGTGTTCTCTCTAGATGACCGAGGTCCTGTGGTCAGGAAGCAGAGGTACGTGTTTGACATTAGTGCCCTGGAGAAGGATGGGCTACTAGGGGCTGAGCTGCGGATCTTACGGAAGAAGCCTTCGGACACAGCCAAGCCAGTGGCCCCTGGCAGTGGACGGGCTGCCCAGTTGAAGCTATCCAGTTGCCCCAGCGGTCGGCAACCAGCAGCCCTTCTGGATGTGCGCTCTGTGCCAGGCCTGGATGGATCTGGCTGGGAGGTGTTTGACATCTGGAAACTCTTCCGAAACTTTAAGAACTCAGCCCAGCTGTGCCTGGAGCTGGAGGCCTGGGAACGGGGCCGGGCCATGGACCTTCGTGGCCTGGGCTTTGACCGGGCTTCCCGGCAGGTCCATGAGAAGGCCCTGTTCCTGGTGTTTGGCCGCACCAAGAAACGGGACCTGTTCTTTAATGAGATCAAGGCCCGCTCCGGCCAGGATGATAAGACTGTGTATGAGTACCTATTCAGCCAGCGACGAAAACGGCGAGCCCCGCTGGCCACACGCCAGGGCAAGCGGCCCAGCAAGAACCCCAAGGCCCGCTGCAGTCGGAAGGCACTGCATGTCAACTTTAAGGACATGGGCTGGGACGACTGGATCATTGCCCCTCTTGAGTATGAGGCCTTCCACTGCGAGGGACTATGTGAGTTCCCCTTGCGCTCCCACCTGGAGCCCACAAACCATGCAGTCATCCAGACCCTGATGAACTCCATGGACCCAGAGTCCACGCCACCCACCTGCTGTGTGCCCACCAGGCTGAGTCCTATCAGCATCCTCTTCATTGACTCTGCTAACAATGTGGTCTATAAGCAGTATGAGGACATGGTTGTGGAGTCTTGTGGCTGCAGGTAGCAGCACTGGCCTCTGGGTGGTGCACCCTCAGATGCTGGTCACAGAGCCCCTCCCTGCACGCCTGGAATCTCAGGGGGGTTGGGAAACTATAGATGCTGACAGCATCTACACAAAATGCATGAAAGAAGATTCAAAAAGCTTTGCTCACTCTGAATGGGACTTGGGCTACAAGTCCCTGCTATATACTAGCCCCCTAGGACCAGGAACAGACCCAGGGAGACAGACTCTGAATGAAACTGAGACCTAGAAAACCTTACATTGCCAATGAGATTTAGCCACAGACTCTCCCTTACTGGGCCTCCTAGGCTTCTGGACGTTCCAGGGGGGACTTCTCTTGGGAGAGCCAGAGGTGCCACCTTCCTCCTTGAATCACCATGTGCCTGGTGACTTTCTGCCCCCTGGGCAGATGAGATACTGTTGGGGAGGGGTGGGAAAGAGGGGGAGAGGGCTTGGGCAGGGATGAGGAGTGGGAGGCTGTTAGACTGTTAGATTAAAATGTACATTGATGAGATAAAAAGCAAAACTGTGTTGAAAACTGTGGCAGATTTCTTATTTATTACAAGGGACCCAGTGGCCCTGCAGAGAATGATGGACTCAGGGTGAAGAGGTGGCAGCTTCATGTATAAGCTGGTTTCCAGGGCCCAGTTGTGGAAACAGAAGTGGAATGGGTCAGAGCGTACAGGCTGAGCAGAGCCAGTGCTCACCTCTAACCCCATTCCTCTTCCTCCAAAGACCCACGTCTGGAGTTCCATCTGCTCCATTGGGGCCTGGCAACAGAGTTATGTTTTTCTCTTTGATATTACTTAGTAAAAAGTGTGTTGTCTCTGAAACAGATCCCTAAATGAGGAAGGAATTGGGAGTTCTGTTACCTCTGAAATCACCCCCATTTTATTCACCAGTATCTGTGCTGCCTTTCCTGCTCTGTCCTGAATTAACTCACCCCCCTTTAAAAGGCCCTTCACCTCTACACAGGCAACCTGGTTGTCCCTCTATTCCTTCCTTTTTGCAACTGACCACTGTTGCTCGTGTGATCCTGTTTGTGGCCCTGCTATCTTCAGCCTTAGCACTGTCACAGCTTCTTACTTTTTACCCATAACCTCCTACTCCCCCATTCCCAGCTCCAGAGGCAGAGTTGGAGTCCCTCCCATCTACATTATACATTATATAAACACACTATTAAACATGAGATAAATAATCTCCTGTACTAACCTCAGACACACCAATGCCAGACATCCTGTAATGTTTCCTGCTTGGGGCTTAGCCCAGAAAAAGTGCACACTTCCCTTTACCCACTAGGATCACTGGGGTGACATGAGACATGAATTCTTGGGAGGGGAATACAGCTCTTTGGTAAGGAAATTTGGGCATCTGAATTCTGGTTCTAAGGGCTCAGGATCACATTTTGCCTAGTGGAAGAGAGAGAAAAAGGAGAAGGTAGTCTATACTTCTGGTGGTGGTGGTGGGGAGGGCGCGGTGGTGGCTCAAAATTTCTCCCTTCTTTCTCCAACTCAGTCTTTTATGCCCAGGGCTCCTAGCCAAAGCTGTTTCCACAGTAGAGTTTCTTTCCCAGTTATAGGCAGATCTGTGTCCCTGCCCTCCTGGGTTGTCAGGAACCAGGTATAGGGGCACTGAGCTGCCTCCCTGGCTTGGAGGCCATTACCTGTCCCTGAGGAGCCAGCCTGAATCTGGAGCCTAGCCCTCCCTGGCTGGGCTCCATTGTGTTTGGCTGGTGGTAGACCTGAGCACTCTGGAAGTAAACAAAGGATCTGCTTTGGTAGAGAGAGTTCTGGTGTGTATGACAGGAGAATGGACCTGGGAGGGAGGTGTTAGGAAAGCCAAACAGGGATTACAGAGGCTCCCTGTATTCACAGGCAACAGGGCGAGTAATGCAGAAACTGAGTTACTAGAAATACAAGGACAGAAATGGAGAGGACAAGGATCACAGGCGGGGCTGGCTCCTCCATGTACTTATTTTCTAGGCTGTGTGTCCCTGGTTTCTAGGAAATTCTGACATTATTGGAGCTGCTCCCTCATGTCATCTCAACCACAGTACCCTTCCTGATGAAGACTGGGGCTTTGAATTGTCTGTGGCTCTGGCCCGATACCCGAGGAGCTTCCTCTCCAACCTCAACCTGCCCTAAAACTCTCTTTCACAAAAGAACCACTTGGAGTGTGTACTCTCCCCAGTTTCCCCCCAAACCATGGCATATAGGAGCAGCCTTTGAGTCCTAATCACTCCATCTGTTCAACTGCCTTCCTGGAATATTTATCTCCACCAGGTACCCACCCACCTCCAAGCCCAATCATAAGAAGTTGCACACTTGTTTAACACAAAAGTACATGGCTTAACACAAAAAGTACATGGCTTATATTCTTTAGAGTTCACCAACACTTGTCCTGGTCATGGTCTCACACCTCTGAAGGGCTCAATAGGCTGCCCGGTTTCAAATTTCAGATCAGACACTTAAGAGTTAGAGGCCTTGGACGAGGAACTTCATTTTATAAACCTCAGTTTCCTCATTTGTGAGGAAAAGGGGGAGGGAGGGTAATTAACATACCTGTTTCATAGAGATAGTTGTAATGACATGAAAGACATTGAACACAATAGCTGGCACAGAAGTGGCACTAGGTAAATGTCAGCCGTTATTATTTTGCCTCAAACAATCCTACAAAGCAGGCAGGGCAAGAATATCACCATTCATCTTTACAGATGAGGAAGCTGACTCCAGAAAGGTAACTGCAGGTCTCCTGAAGCCTCAGTGTTCTTTGTACCATTCTTCCCCCCACCACCACCAGATTGATTTATTTTTACAAAGGTGTGTATGTGGGTGGGGGTGCAGTGGTGGTGGTGGTGAGAGAATTCACCAGGGAGTATAGCAAGAGGATTTACTGAAATACACTGCTGCGGGGAGCAGGGTGTGAGACAAAAGAGGTCTGCTAAGCCATGTGGGGCAGCTACTGGCTGGCTGGTGATGGCTGGTGATGCAGTGGCTGGTGACAGCTTGATAGTGAACACCTGCATCACCAGAGAGGCCCTTTGTACCATTATTTCTACTATTCTGGAACCTCAGCTCTACTGACAAGTAAATGAAAGTCCTGGCAAGCAAATGAATCACCCCCGCCCCCAATCATGTCTTGGCTCCCTACTCTTTGAAGTATCTTTTTGGGGGACAATGCAGTGTTGTTAGTCCCAACAGAGAAATAGTTAAGCAGGTAGCTTAAGGGAAATGGGAGGCTTATATGAAGGATAGAAGCCAAGCTTCCAGTACTCTGATGCTATCTCAAAATTTCAGTTACAATTATTGATAATGGGAGCACCAAGATCATTGTAACTTTAACATTATAAATATGAAGTGTTAATAACACAGGAAGCATATAATGATGTTAGAAGTATGCTTAATTCAGGCAAATAAGAGAAAGAAGGTAATTAGATGCATGCTTAAGTGATAAATAATTGGAATGGGGGAGCAGAGAAAAACTAAATAAGTGAAACACCTGCAAAAGGTGGTGGTAGACAGGCTTCATGGAATATGAAGAATTTGAGCTGGGTCCTTAAGGTTGAAATTTGGATGGAGATGAAAGAAGACATTTTAAGTAAAAGGATTGTATGAGCATATTAATAGCAGCATGTTTACAAAATGAGGGCACATCCTCCCATCCCTAAAATCATACTGTAATGATTACTGGTACCATAGACTGTGGGGGATGGCTTAACCTGGGAGTTGCTGAGTCATTTAATTCATAGGCTGTCTTTTTTTGCCTTCTGAGAGGTAGGGATTTGGAAAACAGAGAAAACTGAGCAGTGAGGGCCTCAAAGGTGAAGTGCATCAGTGGAGTGTTGGTGAAGAACAATAGTAAAAATAAGTACTAGAAACTCCATAATATGCATAATAGATTTTGGATATTCAGGTTATACTCATAGTAAAAATGATCCTTGAAAATTCCTTAAAGAGACTATTTTTTTTTAAAGATGTATTTATTTGTGCATACAGAACTGGGGTACAGGCCAGAGGCTCAGGGGTGGTGAGAGGCTTCACCAGAGACAGAGTGGGGAGCAGAACAGGCAGATCTATGAAGTACACTGCTGAGGGGAGCAGCGGGCGGGCCAGGAGAGGTCTGCCATGCCATGTGGTCACCTCCGGGGCAGGCGGGAATCGAACTCATGAGGAAGCGGCTTTAGATTCTCAGTGCTGTGCTTTAACCCGCTGCGCCACCAGGGAGGGCCAAAGAGACTATTTTTTTTAAAGATTATTTATGCATACAGAACTGGGGTACAGCCAGAGGTTGAGGGGCAATGAGAGGATTCATCAGAGACAGAGTGAGGAGCAGAACAGGCAGATTGATGAAATACACTGCTGAGGAGAGTAGCGGTTGAGAGAGGAGAGGTCTGCTGTGCCATGTGGATCACCTTTGGGGCTGGGTGGCTACCTTGTAGTGGTGCGTTTTAACTCATTGCGCCACCAGGGAGGGCCTTTTTTTTTTTTTTAAGATTTATTTTACTTATTGATGCATACAAGAATTATTTTTGATTTTTGGTTTCTTTCTTTTCCAGAAAAAAATTGAAGTTTAAAAAACTGCATAACAAAATTTGCCATCTTAACCACTTTTAGGGTACGGTTTAGGAATGTTAAGTATGTTTACATCAACAGATCTCTAGAACTTTTTCATTTTGCAAAACTGAAACTCATCTTGCAAAACTGAACATAATTTACTGTTTTTCTGTATTCCCACTCCATGGCAACCACATGTTTTCTATTTCTAAGAGTTGACTCCTTTAGATATGTACTATAAATGAAATCAAACAGCATTTGTCTTTCTTTCTTGTATGTATTTCCTAAGAAGTCAAGTAAGTTAAATGGGTATGCCATTTAACTCCATTGCCTATGGTAAATAACTACAGTCTTCAAAAGGAGCTTATAATCTAGTTATACAAACAATTTCCATTTAAAATGCTATGAAAGGGCCCTCCCTGGTGATGCAATGGGTAAAGAACATCACTATGAAGCCAGCCACAGCCGCTTCAGCACAAGTTTGATCCCCGGCCATGGAGGTGATCCACATGGTGCGGCAGACCTCTCCTGTCTTGCTCACTGGTCCCCTCAGCAGTGTACTTCATCAGTCTGCCTCTTCTGTACCCTCCTCTATCTCTGGTGAGCCCTCTCACCCCGCTCCCCCCACACCTCTGGCCTCT